AATGATTAATAAAGTTTTGCTCTGATATCCCAGTAGCTTCCAGGTCAAATGTTTGCTAAAATAGGATAAAAACCAGAGAATGGGTTTCATCTTGGCTGCTGTTCACAAAACATGTGGCGTTGATTTAGCAGTTTTTTATCTACCGCGTGCAGGGAATGGCAGATAATATTCCTAAATGATGTGTAACATTGACTATTTTGTGCTGATATCAAATCCACATCTGCAGAAACATTAAGTAAATAGAAAGGCACGTAGGTCTACAAAGAGCAACAGATTTTATCAGTATGCATGACAGACATAAATGATCATGGTTTGACTGGGTATGCTTTTATGTAATTTTCACCTGTTGCCAAAGGCAAAGCGTTAATTATGTTTTTGCATGTGTCAATGTGTGTTTATAGTGTTAGCAAAACACGGAAATGATGTGACTGCTTTATAAAGCTGTCATGTTTAGACACTGACCTAAATTTTGGTGTGGTAGTAGTTGAGAATCCTTCCCAAAGAATAGATAACCTTTGTTTAAAGATTTGTCCTGAAAGGTAGAAGATAATATGCATTTCTTCAAAGAAAGGAGGTATTTGTTATAAAATGTCATGGTGGATCATCTCTACAAAATCTGCTGCTTCTTTCATCCATTTTCATTTTGGATCATCTGCATAGGCCTGTCACGATAACCAAATTTTGCTGGACGATTAATTGGCTCAGAAATTATTGCGATAAATCATAATATTGTTTGAAATTTGACAATTGACAATTTGCAATCCCAACACCAACTTGGAGCTGTCTGTCACTCCTACAGCACATCTCACCACTGTCCTGCTGTCCTCATACATGTCCTCTACCAGTCTAACATACTTATCTGCCACTCCAGATTTCCTCATGCAATAACACACCTCCTCCTTCGGCACCCTGCCATATGTTTTTTCTAAATCCGCATGACCTTCTCTGTACTTCTCCAAAAGTATCCTCAAGGCAAAGATGGCATCTGTGGCACTCTTTCTTGGCATGAAACCATACTGCTGCTTACAGCAACCTCTTGTTTAAGTCTATCTTCCACAACTCTCTCTCAGATCTTCATTGTGTGACTCATCACTTAATTCCTCTGTAGTTGCTACAACTCTGTGCATCACCCATGTTCTTAAAAATGGACACCAGCATACTTCTTCTCCATTCCTCAGGCATTTTCTTAACCTCAAATACGCCATTGAATATTTGAGTCAAAAACCTCACCGCCGTCTCCAAGACATTTATAAAACTCACTCCACTGGTACTGTATATCATCATGTCATACAGCCTTCACCTTCTTCATTCTTTTCAGAGTTTTCCGAACTTCACCCTCACTAATCTTTCCCACTTCCTTACTTCAACTTGGTCTCTTGGACACATAAAACATCTACCTTCCTTCTCTGCATCATGTCAGCCAGCTCTCTACCTTTGCCTGTCATTGTCCCCACATTTAGAGTTGCCACCCTCAGTCCTACATTCTTGACTTTCCTTTTCTCCCTCTGTCTCCTGACAAGTTTCCCTCCTCGTAGTCTTCATCTAACAGTAAGTAGCACAATTTCTGCCAGCACCGTTTGTCAACAGCACCAGGGCGGTCATTGTTAACCCAAGCCTCAACCGATCTGGTATGGTGTTGCTTAGATGAACTCGCATATTAGTCCTGGTAAAAGTGTTTTTTTTTGTCGGATGCCCTTCCTGACACAACCCTCACCATTTATTTGGGCTGGTTTTGAGAAAACCTTACCAACACTAACTTATTGCAGCCACTCAGAGACAAGTCTAAAACAATTTCAAGGTTGCAATTGATCTTTTAAAATAAATTAAATCTGAAATAAATGCTCAACAGATTTCTGGTTTTGCTGGAAGATGTTTGAGTAGTCTTTTATTTGGTTACTTCTTGGTAGATTAATAGCCACAACTGCTAAATATACACATACACACGTATCAGCTATAGCAACGTGACCACTGAGTCGATTTGTATTTCCCAACAAAAGTGCTCTGAATAGAAAAGTTAATTCTTCTAATATGTTAGTATTTTTATCTAGGCTGACCCTGGGTTTTTTGATCTTCTCAGAGACGGATTCTTAAATGGGGCCAGCAACTCTAAAAAGAGTCTCCTAGGGATTCAATATCCGTCAAGGAATAGAGTTTTTATTTATTTGTTATTGGCCCGCTGCATCGCGTAGAAAGACTGTTTTCTGCACTATTTTTCCTGACACGTCAGACCACATAAGATCTAATGAGATCACACAGTCCGGCCCCTTATCCACGTGATAGTCTGTGCTCTCCTCTGCAAAGGAGGAGTCTATGCCCTATATATTTGTAATGCCATGTGACATCCGGCCGCTTCCGGTCCAGGATCTCGCATCATGTGTTGGACAGGTCAGCGCTGTAACTGTATCTTTTTCCTGCCTTGATTTAATAAAATTGGTAAAACTGAATTCACATTTTCCTTGATTTATTTGATAGTATGAGTTACTACTTGTGAGGGAGGTACAAACCGGGTGCCTCCGGAGCTGGAGGTGGGGCATGGGGTCCGGGATAAGACCTGCAGGACACTTACTAACCAGCAACAGCTAGGAAATTATTACATTTCATTATATGATTAATTAATTCATTATGTGATAGGAAAGTTTTTAAAAAATTGTCTACTTCAGCCCGTGATAAATCAACATAAGACCAATAAATAAAAACCCACTTGTTATGGTAACTAAGCATATACTGTATTTGTCTATTAATCTGTTTCCATTTAGAAGATGTGATTCATTCAAAGAAATGAGCTCAGTAAATGCAAAAGTATTAATTCTGCCGGTACTCTAAAGGCATGCTGATAATCTGTAGGTGTGTCCCTTAATGTGTTTCAGTCCTCAGACCGATCCCCGAGCCCAGACTTGACAGTTGAACCAAGAGCAACAGACATGTGTGATTCAATTATCCGTTTAGTCACGTTGACACTCTGCCAGCTTGTTATCATCGAGAGTGTGATGTGACTCATCTTGATCGGCAGACTGTTACCCTGAACCAAAGCAGATACCCACTTTGTGATTCTTGGCTCATAAACACACCTCAGACACACTTTTCACCAAAATGCCAGCTGAGCATTGGTTATCAAAACAACGCATTATCCTTAGTCCTCTCATCTTACAACAAAATGCTGTCATAGTTCTTAATTTCATTTTCTTTCATTCAAAATACTTTTTCTGTTAGATACCATACCATACCATTTTATTTATAGAGCACTTAAAACAGCGACAAGGCCAACCAAAGTGCTGCACAGACAGAACAGGCAACACACAAAGTAATATCCAGACATATACATAGATACATCATTACATTATAGATACATCCCGTAACAATGTTGTAGCAAAATTACAAGATTACCAGAGACTTTACATATGTTTTTTGTTTGTTCATTTGTTTGTTACAAAATTTATGAAATTTTATGGCTATTTACAAGAGTAAATAGTGCTGTAAAGACAAGTCGTTTCTTGAGCATTTTAGGGGTCACAAGTGGCAGGAATTTCTGAATATTCCTGCTAAAATATGTGCGCAATTCAAAACTGATGGCGTAGGTTTAAATGTATTTGTATTTGTGTATGTTATGTCTGTTGTGATTGTAATTTTGTTTTGTTTTGCATATCCCCGTTTCCTCATCTCTACTTAAGTTTCTGTTGTTATGTTTGCTCATCTGCTTTTGGTTTTTGTTTGAAAAATATTAAAGGAGTATACCTGTCTGCCTGCACCTTTAGGTTCATTCCATCACCGTTAGTTACAGAACTGTAAAGAAATGTTGAAGATTGAAGTTGTTTCTGCTGTCTTAAAACATCTCCAATCTTCAAAAGTTTACAGCAGTTCAGGTGAACACTAATATTGCAACCTGTATATCCTATTAATATAGTGTTACAGTTATTTCTGCATACACAATAGGACATTTCTGTCAGATGTAGCACAAGGATGGGATCCTGTAGTGTAGTCAGTGTTAGTGTATTCATTCGTACTCATTTGTACGCATCTGGTGACACAGACTCATGTTTTGGCTGCTGCTGTTACGCTGTATTGTTTGTGCATCATTAGTGTTTAGCATATATCTTAGACCTTTTAGCGTACCATTTGGCATATATCTTAGTGTATATATCTTTAGAATCAGATCAGAATCAGAACCAGAATAAGCTTTATTATCAGTGCACCAAGATACAACGAGAACATGTCCGTACGGTCATCCGAAAGATGGACGGAGTGCACGTAGCTGTTGCTATAAAGCGCGGCCTTCTTATCCTTTTCTGAATACATTTTTAAGATAGAAAAAAGGGACAAAGCCATGAGGAGAGGATAGTGGCATTACAAAAAATATCTTTTCACACTTTGTCCTAAAAGGACAGGATTCAAGACACCAAAAAACTCTCCCAGCAAGCACATTTATGAACACGTTACATATGCATTTGGCGACGAGGTGGTCCATGAAGCACTAACAGATAGACCATTGTCCTGATAAGATGATGGTCAGC